TAAATATATATTTAAAAAATATATAATCAAATAAAAATTTCTCATTAAATATATATCAAGAATCATATATTTCTTCTAATGAAAACAGGTGAACTAGCAAAAGCTATTCGAAGCAAAACAGACATAAGATTTGGCTTGTACCATTCCATGTATGAATGGTATAATCCTCTTTACGTAACAGATAAGAGAAATAATTTTACAACAGACATATTTGTAACTCAAAAGATAATACCAGAGTTACAAGAATTAGTGGAAACTTACAAACCAGAAGTAGTTTGGTCAGATGGAGATTGGGAAGCGTCAGATTCTTATTGGAAATCAAAGGAATTTTTAGCATGGTTATACAATGAAAGTCCTGTAAAGGACACAGTCGTGGTGAATGATAGATGGGGTAGCAATATGCCATGCCATCATGGTGGCTTCTTTACATGTACTGATCGTTTTAATCCTGGTAAGTAAAATTTAAAATCAATTATATTATATAATACACAAGTTAAAAAACAGATATTATATAAAAAAAAGTTGATTAAATATGTTTTTTATTAATTAAACAAGATTATATTTTTTTTTAGGTGTACTTCTCCCACACAAATGGGAAAACTGTATGACTGTTGATAAAAAGTCTTGGGGATTTCGTAGAAACGCTATTTTATCTGAATACTTTACATTGGCAGAATTAGTTAAGGAATTAATAGTCACTGTAAGTTGTGGTGGAAACTTACTGATGAATGTTGGACCGACAAAAGATGGCATTATTTCACCAATATTTGAAGAAAGACTGCGTGGAATGGGTAAACATCTGCTATATCTTATCGTATTTTTTTACTAGTAACTACATATATCAGATATTGATATTGATTCTCTGATTATCTTATAATCTTATAATCTTATAAATAAATATATTTTTTTTAGGTGCTTGGCTAGCAATTAATGGAGAAGCTATTTATGATTCTAAACCTTGGACCATACAGAATGATACTTTAACAGGAAGCACTTGGTACACACAAAGTAAAAATGAAAAACAACTATATGCCTCAATTTTAGAATGGCCAGAAGATAATATTTTATTGTTGGGTTCGCTTAAAATTTCAAAGAATTTCCAAATACAATTACTTGGCTATTCGTCGATTATTTCTGTAAGTATATTCTTGCTTTTATCCAATTGTGTTATAAAGAGAATGTAATAAAATAATTTCATATATACATTTTTTTTAGTGGAAACGATCTGATGATAAATTAGAAATATATTTACCTGCTAATGCACATAGAGGACAACCAGCTTGGGTACTAAAGATTAGAAAGTGATACGATAAGATGATATATTTTATATAAAAACAAATTGTTTCAGAAATATATATATGTATATTTTTTTTTCTTTTACTAAGAATATATATCTTGTACATTGGCTTTAGAAATTTCTTATATATGTAAATCTTTTATGTATATAAATTTCTTACAAAAACATCTTTATGATGAAATTTCAGTAAGAAAAAAAATCATGAAAAAATAGCTTATAATTCAGTGTTTTGCGCTCATAGTTAAATTCGTAGATATCTGAACATCAGAACATCTAAATGTATGTTTGTAATAGGAAATATATAACTTACAGATCCTTAACAAACAAATTTTAACAATGGAATATTACACTTGAGCTACCTCATATAAATAAGCTCCAAGTAGTTTTGTCTGCAAATAGGAATAAAATCAATTATATTATGCTTGCAGTTTTATATAATGAACTAGTCGATTTTTTAAAAGACTGTGATAATTCAATTATACTTACCCCTTGGATGTAGTTATGTACATTCAATTTTTCATTTTGAGAATGCGCACCATCATCGCCCTGTCCGACTGGTATGAGTATTACATTTTTACCAGTAACTTCCTGGAATGTGAGAGTAACTGGAATTGACCCGCCTTCGCGAGAGAGGTCGGGCTCTATTTTGTAAACATGTTGAGTAGCTTTCCGGCCGGCCACGTAATTCGGATGCTCGGGGTTTTCGGACCATGGTTTTCCACCATGGTACATTGTCACATTCATAATATTCGGGCTATTTCTGGCTTGCCATTTTTTATTTATGTATGCAATTACTTTCTCGGTTGTTTCCTCCGGAGTCATGTGAGGTACTATCCTGATTGAAAATTTACCAATAACCTTGCTCGGAATTACCGTTTTCGCTCCTGGCTCACTGAAAGCACCTTGTATCCCATGAAGGGACAGACTAGGTTGCCTCCAACGATGCATTAAAAGTTGAATCTGCAAGAATAGATGCAAATTAGAATATCAACATGTTTCTAAATATGTAAAAAAAAGAAAACATATATACCTTATCCTCTTTATGTAACAGTTGCTTAGTTCCAACTGTTTCCTTAAATTCATCCACATCAAAATCTATATCCTTATAACTGGCCAATTCAGCTTCAGTTATTTTAGCTACGCTATCATAAATACCGTCTACCAAAATATGACCATTAACATCAACCAGGGTATTCATTAAGTAAACCAAATCTGCCATAGCTTCGTGTACACATCCACCAAAGGTACCACTGTGCAAATCCTTGGCAGCGCAACTGACTTCTATGAAGAAGTAGCAGATACCTCGCAGACCATAAGTAATACATGGTTTTTTAGTACCCAGCCAATAGTTATCAGATATGCAGACATAATCTACATTCTTTAAGAAGCTATCTTTCTTTGCCCAAAGTAGCTCATCTAAACCTTCACTTCCACTTTCTTCCATTCCTTCAAAGACAAACTGTGCAAAAATTCCAAAGGCTTAGTATATACAAAAATAATATCATAAGAAAAATGTTAATTAATATGATATTAAGTTGAATATCTTTAAATATCTTATTAGCAAGTACCTTGAGATTAACAGGATTATCAATTCCAGTTGCTTTGTAAGCTTGTAATGCATGTATCCAACAAAGAACTGGCCCTTTATCATCAGTACTACCTCGTCCAAAAAGTTTTCCATCTTTTTCAGTAAGAACAAAAGGTTCAGTATCCCAGCCATCTTCTTTTAATGCTGGTTGTACATCCAAATGTCCATATAGAAGCACAGTTTTCTTTTTTGGATCAGATCCAAGGTCGCCAAGTAGTACAGGAGGAAGTGGAATTTCGCTACCATCAGGAAGAGTCTGTTTGCCTACATCAACCAATTCTGTAGTTGCTCCAAGATTTTTCAGTTTCACTTCTGCCAATTTCATCATTTTTACTATTTCGTCTCTGTGATCTGGCCATGCTGATACGGATTTAATAGCTACTGCTTCTTTCAAATTATTTATATATTCCTGCTTATGTTCATCTATATATCTACAAAAATGTGAAAAAAATTAGAAAGAGAATTAAAGACAAAAAAAATAATTACAAAATATATTTGAACAATTAAATCCATCCAAAAACGTTTTTTTACAAATATATATGCGTTCTTATAAAATTAAAATATGAAGCAAAACATACTTAAATAACGTTTTCAATGCCGATGGTAATTCCATGACTGTTAAATAATCGTAATACTGTGCTCAGTCAAACACAATAGCCGAAACTAATGCTGACTAATGCAACTGGCAGCTGTTGGCTCGGTATCCGATTGGTATATCCACTCTTATCGTTGTAAAAAGGCGTATTTCTCTCGAACGCACATGCAATAAACATTCGCGAGATACCTTCAACGATGCCGATATCAGTAATACAATAGCGTGGTATCTAATCTTTTTTCGATATTATTCAAACATTAAGCCAATCAATGTGTTCCCTGTGGAATCTTGCTATATCGCGCACGCACGTAAGCAAATATCGAATTTTTGTGTTTATATCTTCTTTACACGTAATTCAAAATTACAAACGAAATATAACCGCTATAATTTTTTTCTTATATGTTTATAAAGTGTTCATAATTCTCATAATTATACCTATTATCATACGACTGCGAATATTCTACACAATTCTTCTAACGATAAATGTAACATGATAGCGTGCTATTCATTGGCGTGGCATGTTTCTTTTTAGATGTATTTGACTACATTTTGCTCTTTCTTTCTTGCCTTTCATAATTCTTGATTATATACTTTATTTCATTTTAAACATAGCATTTTGCAGATAAAATATTTTATTTTTAACTTTGGGAGAATAAAAAAAGTAAAGAGTGGAATAAAGTAAAAAATATTTTTTTTTTCGAGTTTTGAGAAAATTAAGAAATAAAGTAAAATAAAAATCAAGACAAGTTTCATTTTCAAGAAAAACGTTTCTATTTTATTATAGAACATTGTCAATAATTTACGCAAAATTTAATGCACTCTGGTATATATATATACAGGAGCGTATCCAGCAAGAAGGGGATGGGGCTAAAGGGACAAAGGGACAAAGGGACTGAAACTCTCAGGCAGTATAGATACTGGCAAACTGATAACTCTCAAGTACTGACAGTGAATATCGGAACGCAGCCTAGATGTAAAAATATATATGTCCAATAGCGACAAAATGCCTACGTCAACAAAAGTTGGAGATACCGAAGAAAAAATATTAATTTTTCTTCTTAAAAAAATAAAAATAACTGAATTCTCTTTTTATTTTAATTAATTAATTTGTTATATATCTTATAATTTAACTAAGATTTAATTTCTAGGCTATTCGATATACACTGAAAGCCAGCACTGAAAATCTATAATAGTTCATGTTACGTATATCATAGATTTTCTGTACTGGCAATATATATATCGGGAAACATAGTTCTAATATTTTCTTTATCCTTTTTGATATTTCAATTTTCAATTATATTCATGAAAATATAATTTATTTTATGTATTCGAATATGCGCATTTATCCGCGACTTCTCCCACGATACACATCTGTCTTGCATCTGTCAAAAGATAGTTTGACGTTTGACGGTTGACGTTTGACCCACCGTCGATTCAGCTCGTTGCGCGCAAGCGCGCTATGCCGGACAATGTTAAACCAACTGCATTTGACAAGTCTGACTTCCTTCTAATAATTATTTGTTCAAATCAGAATTACATCTTACCAAGAACACAAGATACATCTCGAACATGATGCCGGTTGCTGGAAATCTGTCCTTGTGTCATATTTAGGATGGACATGTACTATTGCGGGAATGTCAGTGAATGACGCACCTGCGGCTTCGCTAACCCGAAGCTTCGTGGAGGAGCATCCGAAGGATTGTCGCTTTCTCGTCGAGTCCACTGAGGTCATATTTTATTAATACTTACGTGCATGCCATACTTTTGATACATACTTTGCAAACATCGACACGAATAGTCAGTTATGACGCTTACACGTAATTGTCAACGAAGCGAAAACACTTCAACGAAAGTATAAAAATACAATTATAATAATGCTGTGTTACGCTATATAAGAAGCGATAAAAAGTACAAGACGCAAATATGGTGCGCGTGATAACAGTACACAATTTCCTAGGGCAAAATGTTACCCAAATTGAGGAACCTACAGCAACGTGCACGGCCACCAGCCAGAGGCGAGAGATGCTCTTACTGGCGCTGTCCACGCATTGCGTGGAAGTGTGGGAGCTGATGAATTCGGATGTCAAACTGCGCACTGCTTT